AGGTTCAGATTTAAGTTGATAAAGTGCAAGTGTCTAGCTAATCAATTGTTTATTAACACACTTGATATCTGCCACATACACTCGCACTCACACACATGTATGCACACACACACATACATATACGCATATATATATTATATATATTTACCAGAGAGAGTGACTTTCAATCTCAGGAGAAAAGTAAAAGCAATCCAAAAGAGTGAACTATAAGCAGGCATTTAACATATGATAATTATTAATCTACTTTATCAGAAGGTGCAAGATGAACACATTCGTATTTTTTAAATACTGTAGCTAGTTTATATGTTTTGTGGTGTCGTTGGAGGTGCGATGATGTTAGAGCACGGTCAGGAAAAGGGAATATTTTTTCACTGGGGATACAGTGGATATATCCAGATTGGTGAATTATGTCTCATTTATGACCAAACATAGAGGAAAGGAAAGATTATGTTCTCCCAAATACGAAGTGGTCACACAGAGTAGATGTCATTGGTTTGCTTAGGGGATAAAATGCTCATTTAATTCATTGGAAAAACTAATTTCCCATTACAGGTAGCACATGTAAAGGCCAGCAGTGAAAAAGGATAAATATCTGCACTGTACAATTAGCATAAACCACTCTAACCTGTCAGTTGAGAGTTGTGTCATTTGGGGTCATATCAGAATGGGAAGGCTTTGAAGACCTTATTGTTAAACACTGAACATTAGGATTGAAAATGCTTTTGTTTTGCTATAACCCCACTATCTTAGTTTTGTTTTATGATTCACAATATCTGGGTGTATGGACATCAAAATTGTGCTTCATCTCTGTCCTGCATAAAGGGTGATAAATAAATGTAAATTGTTTTTGCCTTTGGATGTTCTTGGTTTCAGTACAATTTAGGAATAATCTTCTTCATAAGACACCTCTCTTTGGCATCCTATTTGTGCATTGGTTTCTTCTTGCTGCCCATACAACAGGCTCAAATATCACTGCATCTTCAATGTGATAACAACTAGCTTTAGTATTAAGAAAAATATTAATTTGTTCATTTTGACCTTCTGGCAAATAATAATCCCACAATAATAATCTTTACATTAGATATAGCCCCTAAACATTGGGATGACATATCAAAGCGCTTCACGTGATGCACTGAGTGACTGCATACTTTGTAGGGAAAATGTTAAATTGAGTAGATTAAATTAATTTTGTGGAACAATGTGTTTGAATCTGGAAAGCTTCACTAGTGGGGGTATATTTTATGTTCTATGACTATAGCTCGTCACTCACCTCTTAGCTTTTTTTAAGTGTTACTACCACTTCTGATCATGACAAATTACACATCTACCATCTATTTTAACCATACTTCAAGCTAGTTTTCATGGTATGGTGTGGTCAATAAAAGTGCTTAGCAAATCCTTGGGATAATATCAATGGCATAAAACAGAGGTCCCATCGACCTGTTCAGATGGACCTTATTCGTACTGTGGCCATACATCCCCGATTTCCAAGGACAGATCCCGGATAAGGTATTGTGTCCACATTGACTTCAGCAACAAACTGAGCAAAAATAATAACATTGTAAAACAGGCACATTCATCAGAGAAATACAGCCATTAATCCAACAAGCTTCACCAGCACTGCCAGCATCAGGGATTGTGGTGAGTTCAATTATTTTATTTTAACCGAATTTAGCTTACAAAATATGGTTGCATTCGCTGAGTTTATAGATCTTATGGCACTTCATTGAAAAATTAGGAGATTTTCTCCCAGTGGCCTGACCAACAATTTTCCAAACAGAGCGATTCACTTAATAATTCCATTCCATGGCTATTTGTGGGATAATACTGCGTGTAAATTCACTGTCTTGTAAGACTCACCCGATCATCAATCTCCACAGATCATAAGATCTCTCTGGAGATTGTATTCTACACCGAGCAATGAAGTGCGAATGATTAAATCAAAACCTATGTTTAATTGCGCCTTCCTTCATTTGTATATTGCACATAGTTTCGGTGCCAGGAATTGTTTGGACACCGAAACCAGTAGAACAAGATAAGAAGTAGTTTTCACAACGGGGGAATCTCCTTCCAGCACAGGTACGGATTATGGATCAATGATATGGATTGATGGGACCCAAGAAACTGCTACATTTGTATGGAAGAAGTGACGGGTGTTTCCGGGCAGGTTTCTGTACCTCGCCCTCTGTGTGATCTCCTCAGTACATTCCGCTTATTATGTTTATTCCCAAACCCATCTTGTAATTTAATAACCAATGGGATATAACAATGGCGATTTCATCCATACTAACCGGTGGGATTGCATTCCTAATAATTATTTGATTGGTGTTAAATGATCCCGTCAAACCACCATTTAAATACTGCAAAACACTGACAGCTTCCACGGCGCAAATGTGTAAAACGAAAGTGGGTTGTAATATAATTTATACCCAAATGAAAGCAAATATAAACGATCGGATTGAGCGATCAGTAACTTTTCAGGTGTTGTTTTTTGGTGACCAGGATTTGCTTCATTTTTTCAAGCGATATATGATGGGTGAAATCCATGTACTTATTGCTAATCGCTGCCTCGGTTGTTGCAAGTCACGGTTTTATGCAGATGGTTATTTTGCAGCGTCTCTCTCTCTCTCTCTCTCTCTGCAACTGAGCAGCTCAACAGCACATAGCCCTGACAGGTAGACTGTTAGATCAGTGGCTTCCAACCCATCGTGCACACGGCTTTCCCTGCGTTTAAGTATATATACACTTAATATCTCTCCGTCACCACGATTTAAGATTTAAGTTCGTGCAAACGATGGAATTGATGAATTCTCCACAATTCTGTCCGATCAGAAATTTGAAGACAGAAGTCCCTCACGGGCTGACACTGTGTGAGGTGCCGCTCTGCACAGGTGAGGATTGTGCGCTTGTGAAACCTGGCAATGAACTTTGGGGGACAACGTCCTCTTTTCGGTCGGTGGCAAAATTATTTCCACCCCCCAAAAAAAAATCCTTCCCACAGTTGTATATGAAGACTATCATTGAAGTGGGTTGTAATGAATGATCGAGGTACACACAGATTGCATTGATTTCCTACCACACTCTTGCTGATTTATAAGGACTCTTGGTGAACGGTTGGTTGAAAATCGACTTGCAATAGTGGGTTTACATTAAACAACCTTTTTTTTTCCGACTTATCTGCAACTTACTGCCACGCCGACAATGCTGGTCTCAGCTAAAGCGCACAGACCTGTCCGCCTGTGTTTGAGCAACTCGGTTTGTGGTGACATGTCTGTAGCTTTTACTCAGAATCGCCCCAGTCTGGTGACCGTCATAATTCAGAATCATGAAACTTTTATTTCAGAAGCAGATTTTCTGTTGGTAAACATAATATATGTGGATTCCTGTAGTTCAGGGGTTAAAGCACTCGTCTCGCAAGTGAGAGACCCGGGTTTGATCCCCAAGAGGGCGAAATGTTGGGCAAGTTTCCTTGTTCCACACACCTCTGTTTACCCAACAGTAAGTAGGAACCGGGATTGTTAGTCGATTGGCGGATCACTCTATCGGTGGTAATAAATCCTTCAAAAAAAATAATAAATTGGTCACTTCAATCCACGACTGTTTGTGGGACACTGCTGTGCGCAATTGGCTGTCGCGTTTCGCCCACAAAATATACAGTCAATTCAATTTACAAGATATTCTGTGAAGCGCTTTGAGACGTCTGGAAGATCAGGCGCTATATCAAATGCAAGGATTATTTTTATATATTTTTTGAAGCAACGCCAAAACAATGAGTATTTCTGATCTGCACTGTATGGACTGATAATATTTATCACTAGGCTTTTGAACCAGTCACCATTTGATGTTTTTAAACTCTCCAAATATATCACTGAGAAACATCCTCTTTTGATGTTTAGTAGATACTATTAGTGCATATATTTGTTTTGGTATATATTGTAATTATGAAATTCAGTATATGTTTAGAGAATACTTTAATGCGTACATCGGTGTATGTTTGATATATATACTTTAGTTATATTTAACTTTCAATGTATATTTAGGTTATATTTAGGTATTTACGTTATTATTATTATATATTATATTCTAGTTATATAGTGTATTGCAAACATGCTGTATACTTTAATATATACATTAGTATATTTTAGTGAATATTTTAGTTTCACACCAATGTAATATATTTCAGTTACATAGTTTATTGTATGTTTAGTACATACCTTTAGTGTATACTTTGTTTGCATACTTATTGTATGTTTTGTATATACTTTCATACTTTAGTTAGGGTATGTTTCTTGTCTGGCATTCCTTGTGAACTTTCTTACCCATCAGTCTCATCTTCGAAAGCTATTGATTCACACGTCATGAGTATGATTATAAATAAACACATTGGTGTTTTGACAACAATATTTTCAAAAGATGATTTCTTTTTAAAAAAATAAGATGGGCTCTCCTTACGCCAATCCCGTGCACAGCCCAATTCGTATTCTATTGGTGAGCGGATCAATGTCACTGGGAGAACCTTTGAATGCTCGTACGTGAAATGTACTGTACATTTTGACATCGTCTTCCATAATCGCATCACAATAATCCTTAACAAATCAATTCAAATTTACTAAAATAAATCTCGAGGCAGGGCATGGGTGCGTGGTGCTTTTACTCATAACAATCGCTGTTATGGCTATTGCGGATCAAATACTTGGGATGAGAGTGAAGTCTATAACAACGTGTTTACATGGTCCTGTAAACTGCTGGTTGGACCTTTGATGCGCCTGTAGGTCCACCTGGTGCTGTTTGTGTGGCTGGCGGTGCCTCTGTGTGTTTGTGACCTGCACACAGATTGGTTGGCAGGTGGGTTGTGTTTGACTGACTGACTGAGTGCCTACGTGTGGATTACAGGCAGCTCTGCCCTCAGGTCACAAGCACTGTTCACCTGAGCTCAGAACCACCGTTGCATTGCAACTCCTGCCCAAAGAGAGCGCACCCCGTGTAACCCAGGGCCAGGCGCAAGTGTCGTCTTCCTCAAACATTTGTCACATCCCAAGGCGTTAAGAAAATGCATTGGGTACGTTGGGGACTCGTCACGTCCAATCTTTAATCAGCCAAATTCAAGCAACATTCGGGAAAGATGTTTTTTTTTCGCCCAAACCTTTGAAGGCAAACACAGATTGTAGTATTGGTTTTTACCCATATTAACGTTAATCCTTTTTTTTAAAAAATATTATTATTATGTGTTGATTAATGTTATTGATGTGTCTTTGTCCCTGACCCCAGGAGGTGTGGTGGTGAGGAGGGGGGTCGTCGGCTGCAAGTGAAGATGTCTAAGGATGATCAGTACCAAGGCACTGACTGCGTGTGCTCCTTTGGGATGAAACTAACGTGGGATATCAACGACCCGAAGCTGCCACAGGTAACTCACAGCTAACTTCACAACTTTCCTTTCGTAAGAGAAATAAGGAAATAAGTAAGGATTCCTCATGAAAGCACATTTCCTTTTTTAAGTGTTTTTTTTTCTTGTGAAGCTCTCACATAGCTTTAAATTTGCACTGCCCTCCGTCCTTCTTAACCCAAGAGTCAATTTGACTCGAAACTCAAAGCCCTTAATGTAGGTGATCTAAAGAGGAGTCGCTAAATTCCGTGTTTTTTTTATGTTAGACGGATTTCTTTCTCTCCGAAAACGGTGTACATTAAATATATACTGCACGGGGACTGCAAACTGCAGCAAAAGCATTTCATCTGTGCTATTTGAGCCCATCACACTCACTGAGCACACTGTGTAGGCATTCGTTACACTTTTGCTGGCTGCTGTATTTTCCATATAATTATAAAAATAAAAGTTATACGAAATAAACTCAGGCAGATCGGATTCCCACCCCTCCAGACCCTACACTGGCAAAGATACAATGTATTGACTTGGGTTTCTAAAGCTGCGATAATTCGTATCTTTCCATCTAAGAAGTATTACAAATTACAAATAGCGAATTCGTATTTCTATTAGGTGTCTGTAAATTGATATGTAATCCGTGACCATGTGTGTCCTCATGCGAAGAGTAGCAGATCACCCTAAAACCCCGGCACATTTATTCTGTCAAACACACTCTTCCTTGACCCTGTATCTCTTTCACTCACATTCTTCGCAGTTACACATGGAGATGGTTTGCAACTGAGACAGAATTTTTTTTGTACTCAAATCACTTCCTTGTTTGAAATGAAAAGCCCGAAATTTCATCTAGTTTTGTGAGACCCGTAAAAAAGAAACCTTTTGTCTGAAAAGTTAAGCCTGCACCAAATTGAGGAGAGAAAAAACAACAACTTCAAACTCAACTTGGAAGCTGGCTTATTTTTGAAGAACTGCGAGAAGCTTTAAATTCGTTTAAATTTTATATTCCTTGAATATTTTCAGACAAAATGGTCTTACTGACTAAAGACTGGGCGGAATTTTGGACCTTAAATACACAGCAATATTTGGTGGCACTTTCTGTGGTGTTTGAAACTCAGAGGTTGGTCTGAAGATGGTCCACCAGTGACACATAGACATGTTGTCATTTACTGGATCTCCTTCCACTGAAATATTAATCAGGAACTCGCCCCCTCCTGCATTTAGCATTAGTTTGGGTTTTATTTGTGAAATGGAGAAAGATGATTTTCCTTTGTCTGAGAGGGGTAAAATTGTTGAGGGCCGATTTAATTCAAACACTTGGGCGTTTGCGAACGATCAGAGAAGGGAAAAATACATCAGTAAAACTTGTGGATTTTGCGCAACTTTCAGGACTTGAAGCAGTTTGACAGCTTTCATGAGTGGACGGATGGCTATGTGCGGTTTATTTACCGAGCGGATGACAAAAACGCGCAGAGACACCTGAGCGGCTGGGCCATGAGGAACACCAACAATCACAACTGTCAGATCCTCAAGAAGTCGTGCCTGGGGGTGGTGATCTGTGCCCGGAGCTGCACCCTACCTGACGGCAGCAAACTTCAGCTCCGACCCGCCATCTGCGACAAGGCGCGCCAGAAACAGCAGAGTGAGTAACAGCAAGAAACCCTTCACAACAGCCTCTCTCTCTCTCTCTCTCTCTTGCCTTTTTAAAGTTGCAGTGTGTTGTTTGATGGTTTAGATTGTGGCAGAAGCTTTCTAGATCAGCAACGTTTGAATATGGCTTTATTTATAAAACTATTAGAGATCAAATAGACAGTTGGGTTTGACATGTGGAAAAATGGTGCAGAACTCCATCTGACTGCCCTCATCCACAGCTCTGATCCAGAGCTCCATCTCACAGAGCTTGGGATTACTATTCTTCAGGGTCCCTTATTTTAGATGTACCTTAGGTGGCTCAAACACTACTGTTTCTTTCCAGTTGCTAGCAGTTTCGGTTCTGAGTCACAAAGTTCGGGACAAAGTGTCAGGTTAGGGGTGTGCTCCATTGATTGAGGTGATGTTCTTTAGATGAGATGTTAAACCAAGATCAAGTTTGCCTGTTCAGGTGGACGCTAAAGATCCCAAAGCACTATTTGAAAAGAGAAGGGAATTTCTCCTGGTATCCTGGCCAACAATACCCCAGATAAAATTAATCACTAACATTTTGCTTTGTAAAGATTGTATGCTGCTTTTACCAACAAAATATAGTCACTGCACTTTATAGAAAATCCTATGAAGCACTTTGAGACATGCTCCCAACATGACAGATGCTATATCAACTGCAAGTTATTATTATTTTAAACTACTGCGACAATCTAAACCACAAAAATGTCTTTTTGTTGGAAATAAATATATTTTAGAATCACAGCCAGATATTTTCATTCACATAATTTTGTTTGAATGTATATCTTGCAAAGGTACAAATGCCTTTTGTACCAGGTTCTTTAACTGATGGGATAGAGAATGCTCTGAGGATAGACAGTGATCTGATTAGTTTTCTTCAGCATTTCCCATTGGTGAAGTCCAATCAAGGAGTGAGGTTGAATATGTGTTAAAAGGGAAAGGGGAAAAAGGGGAAATGGCTGCAGTGACGGAGGGCTCTGGCCTACACTGACTTGTTGCATAGGACTCTGGAAGTGGACTCAGTTCACAGCAGGCATTATGTACTTGACAAGCAGTGTGCAGTGCATTAAGCAAAACAGTTGGTGCTAACTTAGCCTGGTGCGTGACATTGGACACAGACCTCGATACATCAAGATGGTGGCATCTCACAACCTGTGCTGTATAGGTTCCTAAACCATGCTGAAGACGAATGCCCACCAGATAGCTGATGAGGAAACTGAGGCTTGAGGCAACAGCTGTTGGAAGGTGTTACTTGAAGTCTGGGTTCGTGAACACATCTATCCAGCTCTTGGAATCCACCTTGATTGGCTTGCAGAGAGTTAAGCAGCTGCTGCTCAGACTCCGCACTTCCAACTGATGCAATAAAACAACAACAATATTTGTATAGCGCCTTTCACATTGGGAGGACATCCCAAGGTGCTGATGGAAACAATCAATGTTTCCATTGCTCAATGGATAGGGATGTGTGTCTGATCTGCAGGTAGGAAGATGGTGGCAATGCTCTCACATATTTCACACTGAGGTCCAGGTTCCCCAACTGGAATGACTCAAATGGTGAGTCCTAGTGAAGAGGTGTAAAGGAGCATTCACAAGCATGGGAAAATGAGTCAGATCAGGGATTAGGGAGTGAGCACTAAGGCTGAGTGTCTTCCTCACTTGCGAGTCTAACTGTTTGTATTTTTTATTAAAACCGTCTTGTTTTATTAAACCATACATTGGCAAACACCTTCAGTTCTTCGTAGAGAGGTAGATGGCAATGACCCCGAGCAGTTGCAATGTGCTGCAGTGCTGTAGACCCTTTACATTCCCATGAGGAGTCCCTGGCAGCAGTTAATGAGGTCAGATAGCCTTTTGTCCTGGAGGTAAAGTTTCAGGAAATAGCGAGAAGCAATGAATGGAAGGAATCCTGATGGTTACCTCCATGGATATCCTGGAGCATATGCCTCAGGACTGTTGAGACTCTTTTGGGGTGCTGGGAAACCAGGGACGAAGAGGTGATGGTATCCGATATTGTTGGATATAAAAACAGGAAGGGCAACTGAGCAATGCCCCAGAAAAAAAGGCAGAAGAATGTAGTGAGGAGGATTCGCCATTAAAGTCGGTTGAGAAGGACAGCAGGTAATTCAATGAAAAAGGAAGACGTTTCAGTAAATAAAGGGGCAAGGGCTTGGAGAGACTGACTTGGGCCTGTCAAGGTACTGTTTTGCACTGGTCTGTGGGCAAGATCATTTAAAAAACAAGGCTGGTAGGGAGAAGGTCACACCAGACCTGTGGGTGACGGAGATCAAGAATGTCCTTATCCTCAGTCTGTATGTCCTGAGAGCTGGGGGAAGTCTGCTGGAATTGGCAGGACTAACCGCACTCATACTCGGAAGCAGACATTTTGGGTAGGGAATGCTGAAAGGGGATTCAGCTGACCTATCAAAGTAACCAGGTCACACCATTACCTGTACCTCTTCGGGAATTTATCGTAGAAAGGAGTCCTGTAGCTCAATCAGCATTTCAGAGATAAAACCAGGAAGTTCATGTGCATTTATTGGGAATTAAAGTGAAAGCTTGTGTTTCTAGTTTTGTGGTTCATAGATCATAAGAGATGTTGCTTCTTATTACAATTGAATATGTATTGAAGTTTCAAGTGTTAAACAAAATTGTTAACATGAGTAAGGCAATAAAGGGCCTTTGCAATCCCCCACTAACTAAGTTTAGTTGTCAGCCTGGTTCTGTTAGTAGCACTCTTGCCTCTGAGTCAGAAATGTTGTGGGTTCAAGCCTGATGTAGGGCCTTTGAATTCACAGTCTAGGCTGATATTTCAATTCACTGTGAGTGCATTGACCATGTTTTTGGTAATATTTCCTCTCCCCACCCTCTCGGCTCCTACTCCCAGATCGGGTGCCGAGCCAGGACTGTTAAGCTCTTTGGGGTGTCCTCCTGATGTGTCAGGGGTGTTAAAATCACCTGTTCAGGTGGACGTTAAAGATCCCAATGGTACTATTTCAAGAAAAGGGAGTTTGTCCTAGCCAACAATCACCCAGATAAAAATAATCATTCACTTTATGGCTCAGCATATTTAACCAATGCTGAATAAACCTTTGGTTCAACAAATATCTATTAAGTATTCTAAATATGTACACTACCTTTTATTTCATTTTCTGTAAAACATTTTTGTCTCGCTTCAGTGATTCTTCCCTTGTTAAAATGCAACTAAACAATCATACAGAAAAATTGGATTTTTAACATCACCGTATAAGCTAATAATTCTCACTATGCTTTGTGAATTTGAATTGTGAATAGAAACTCCATTATAGTCCTTAATAACTAATCTGCAGTAGGTAGACTAGATAGGTCGACTAATTGGACTGAACAGGAGGAGCCATATCACTCTATGTAATTTCTTTTGATTTTCACTCTCTCTTAATTTTGCTTATCAAAGAAAAAGTATAAAGTTTGCAACATTACTCAGGCAATTGTAAAATATTTACAGGCTTCTCTCATTCTATGTCCACTTCCCTCCATTCGAACAAGATTTAACATGTCACTTCATGTTTTGCAGAAAAGGCATGTCTGAATTGTAACTCAGCGCTGGAGCTCATACCATGTCGAGGTCACAGCGGCTACCCAGTGACTAACTTTTGGAGACTTGATACCAAGGTCATATTTTTCCAGGTAAGTTGTAAGTTACAAGGTCAAAAACTAGTCAGAGTTCTTAAAATAAAGAATATTGAACCATTTCTATATTCAAACAGTGAGTGAATATTATTTTCTATAACTGAATAAAGTACCATGAATTGTCAAGATTATATCATTTCTTATTATAAAGACTGAGTGGAGGCAACCGCAATGGTATAAAGATTAGAGCCACCGCTTGCTTACAGACAGGGAGTTTGTGGTTTGAACTCCAGGCCATGCTTTGTTTACTGGTCATGGGTTCCTGGTCCCTCGACAACATCCTCTACTGATTATGTGTGTGGTGAGCTGGGTGGGCCGAGTCCAGGCTCTGCTGTGATGCCCTCTATAGTTGAGTAGCTGGGGCTGACTGACAAGACTCTAACACAAACAGCGGAGTCCTGTAGTTTAATGGTCAGAGCACTCACCTTTCAAGTGAAAGGACCTGGGTTCGATTTCCAGCAGGGCGAAATGTTGAGCGTATTTCCTTTTGTTTGGCAGAATGCTTTTCCAGGGATAATAATTCCTTCAAATTAATAATAATAATTTGGTCACTCAATCCACAACTGTTTGTGGGACACTGCTGTGCACAATTGGTTGCCGCATTTCGCCCACAAAATATACAGTCAATTCACTGTACGGTATATTCTGTGAAGCGCTTTGAGATATCTTGAAGACATGATAAGGTGCTATATCAAATGGAAGGATTATTATTATTACTGTTACTGGCCATTAAGCAGGATGCTGGAGGGCAACCAGCTCCTGTGGAACTGCACCCAGCAAAAGAACGGCAGAGACGCATATGCTTGTGGGGAGAAAATTAGAAAGATAATTTGGGTGCACTGTTTTTCTGTTTAAAAAAAATAGTGATTAAGTAGGTTTAGCTCACTGTCCTTTCATCTGTATTTCTGAGTCTGAATCCAACTCAGACTGATGGTATCATGTCTCTTTCTCCTCATTTAAATGCTCCTCCTTTTACACTTGGATTGGTGTGAGGCATTTACTTTCTCCACAAATCTGGGTGGTGTGGTGGTGAAGTAACATCACAAAAGATCACATGGAAGGTTCTTGTGCAATTCCTCAGCATATTTGATTTCATCCTGCCACAATACTCACTTTACCATCTTCCCATAACAGGCTGAAACTATGTTGCAAACGAGCCCAGTGTCCTAAACTAGAGTGGATATAGAGCTCATATTGATTATTTTTTTAATACTAGGCCAAAGGCGTACATGACCATCCAAGGCCCGAGAGTAAATCAGAAACTGAAGTCAGAAGAAGTGCCATTAAAAGACGAATGTCCTCCCCAAACTTTGTTCACAAAAAAAGGCACATGGACTCTGAGGTAAGTCATGCTTCATGAGGTAGCAATTCAAAGAGATTTGGGGAGAAATTCTACCTGTGTCTCAATTTACTCAATTTTCCTAGCATTTGAGACATCCTCCCGACCTGAAAGGTGCTATAGAATTATAAATTTCTGTGACCTCAATGTACAGAATTTGGCAAATCCATAAATGCAGTCTAAATTTTGTTGCCATTTTCCTATAAGTTTCATTTAACAGCTATAGAAAACCAACTTCAAAGCTAATTCAACAATTTGCCAAATTCTGGGTTGTCTGAAATGATATTGTTTGGTCTGATACAATGGAGAATCCATCACCATGCTTGACAGTGCCCAAACCAGACAACATTCCACATATGTATGCCACCTATATATGGAATTTTCCCTGTGTCTGGAATGGAATGTTCACTCTCCCTGGAGGGCATCATCCCGCTTGCCTTATTTCAGAGGGTATTAGGCACAAGTTGGCCAAAGGTTGTGAACCCCTGAGCGTGACTTGGGGTACTGCTGGAGTTAACCAGTTAAAGCCTCTATCTACCTCCATCCTACTCATGAGGGTTTTAGCTTTCAGGTTTAATAGGAATAGAGTGGATGAAACCCTTCCTTTAGGGACGGGCTTGCACTCCAAATGTTGGGGACAAGTCAGTTTAGTTAAGTAGGTTTTATTCTAAAATGGATATTGTCATGAAGACTTTCTGAGGCTGATTTACTGGACTTATCATAACATTTACTGAGGCAGGAAATGTTCTGACCAGCATAGCATTGGATGATCTAATCCATCAAGGTCGGTACATTTTGTGAGAATTGAAGAATTATTCCCATGTTATGCTAATTATTACATTTTGTCAAAAAAAATGCCAAATACTGCAGATGCTGAAAATCTGAAACGAAAACAGAAGTCTGCGAACACTCAGCAGGTCAGGCTGCATCTATGGGGAAAGGAAAGTGAGTCAACGTTTTGGGTCCACAACCCTTTGTCAGAACCAGTTCTGACGAAGGATCACGGACCCAAAACTTTGACTCACTTGCCTTTCTCCATAGATGCTGCCTGACCTGCTGAGTGTTCTCAGGGACTTCTGTTTTTGTAGCCTCTATGTCAAAGATTGTAGGTTCAAACCCCACATCAGAGTGTTTAGCTCATAGTCTGGGCTGCAATGTTGCAGGTGCCATCCTTCTGATGCGACATTAAACTGAGGTCCATTTTATCTGTTCAGGTAAATGTTAAAGATCTCATGACACTGTTCAAAAAGGGAAGGGAGTTTCTTTCAATGTCCTGGCCAATAATCCTGTATATAAATTGAGCACTTACTTCATGTTTGTTTGTTGATGTGTCTGAAGGTGCAATTTCGTTGCTGTATTCATCTGTAAATACATCTTATAGAAAAGTCTTTGAGACATTGCAGGCCCCATATCAAATAAAAGTATATTTTATTTACTTAACCTGCTGGTAGTTCTATGGAGACCAATGGGTTGTAGATTGAACAATTTTGCTGAATTGATGGATATCAGCAGCACACTAAGGGTTTAACCATGAAGTACAGTTGAACCCTGTTATAAGAGACCCGCTTATATGATTGTTCCACTTATAAGACGGACGTCCTGTGTAGATTTTTACATTTTCCAGTATTGGGTTTGTAAATGTAGTATTTGCAACAAGATTCGCAAAGGATTAGTAGATAATGATTTTTGCCGGTAACATTATGGTAAATCTCAACCCAACACAGTCTCACTCCAAGCAAAGCTCCTGCAAGTCAGAGTTATGCACATCTGCTTACCATTAGGATTCAATATGTACAAATCTTATTGCAATTCCCAGGTTTTTGTTCTCATGATCTGTAGCAGGTACCAAGCATTATTAGGAGCCTGGAATTGCTTCTCCTCTCTGACAGTCTTCCTGTGAGATTCAAGATGATAGGAGAAAAACAGTAATCGCACCCACATAGACCAGCTTGTATGTACAGCGGTTCAATTCTGAGCTTTAAAATCCAATGGGGAAAAGTTGGTCTTTAAGTTAAATCAAATGTAAGAACAAAAAAAATGGTTCTCAGATAGAGATTAAGATTTCTGTGATACGTTTAATCACCAACGTTTACAGGGTTTTCGGATTATGATTTTTCTCACTGTTGATATGTGTTCTTTCTTTCACTCCAGGCAAGCAGATACCATGATAGCAGTGGTCACTTCAGCAACATCCACCATTTGCCCTGTATGGAAGCTCCAGACAGATTTGGCCTAATAGCAGAACCAAACTTTCCTATTCCATCACATCACTATTCACCATTTCAAAACCCAGAGGCCTTCAATCCAGCCTACGATTCAAACAGTGTTGCAGGGGAATCAGTTCCATCACTTCCAAAGGTCTCAAATCCAAGGATATATGTTCCAAGAGGATCATGTGGCTATGATTTTGCCATGCCTGGTTACATAGGTTCCAGTTCTTATCCAGCGCTTTACAAAGATTCTGGTAATATGCAACCTGAAGTTGATTCATTGCAACTCACTGGAACTCAACACAATGCAGGTAGCTTGAATGTCCATGACAGGACCTTTGATGGGACAAGTAAACACCATGGATGGAAGCAGATATTGAAAGGTGGATATGGGGACAGGAATGAATATGGGCATATCACACCAAATTCTAATCATTACTACAATGGAGAATACCCATGCAGGTTGAGTGGTACAGGGACCACTCCTCCCGCTTTGCAGACTATCATAACCACGACTACTAAAGTCTCCTACCAACCTTATAAGCCTGTGGGAAAGTTTGGTGACAATGTTTATGATGCCAAAAATCTTGCAAACTGCAACCACTTAGCAGACAATATTCCTTCTACCAATTACCCGGAGGCAAAGTTTCAAGAAGATAATGGGGTGATCAAATCAGCAATAGTCTACCAACAGGAGCCAGCTTCCAAAACAGAGCGGGCAGAAGGACTGGAAAATTATAGATATGGCACATATTCTACAAACTCATACAGTGATCGGTTAGCTCACCCCTCCCGATATGACATTGGGGAATACTAAAAATCTACAGGGAAAATGCTCGAAATTGTCACAATTGTTGAACTGATTCACCCTAACTCTCCCCAATAAGCACTATACCATTTTTTCTTGCTGTATATAGACAATAACAAGATTCAAATCCATTGAAGATACTAGAGTGTATTACAAGTGGATCCTATTTACTAAACAGGGTGCACTTGGGTTTGATTCCCGGCAGGGTGAAACCTTACGCAAGTTTCCTTACTCCACATGCCTGATAATAATCACTCAAGAAAAAAATAACAAATTGGTCACGTCGATCCACGACTGTCTGTGGGACACTGCTGTGTGCAATTGGCTGCCGGGTTTTGCCTACAAATATACAGTCAATTCACTTTACAGTATATTCTGTGAAGTGCTTTGAGACATCTGGAAGACGTGAAAAGCGCTATATCAAATGCTAGGATTATTATTATAAACATTTAATAATCCCCAGCAAGAAATTTTGCACTGAAAAGGAATCTTAATTTCAATGCAAATGTTAACAAAAGGATATCCCATTCTTTAAAATCTGGTAATGTTAAATTTTGACTTGAGACCTTTATATCAGGTATCTATGAGATTAAATACCAGATGTTCTCCTCCACCAAATAATAATGAACCACATGAAAAATCTTCCAAGTGCTAAATGTAATGGATTGTTCACAGTTCACGTGTGAACGTCATCTCACAGATTATATCACATGGTTGTCACAGACACACAATGCCATTTGAAACTGTTATGACTTACTAAAGGCTATAATTATCTCAGCTACTGTATTTTTTTACCCTGCTCTGAGTGAATAATCAGTACTCTGCCATTTAGCAAAGCTTTTCATATTATGTACAGTTGCATCTTTGTTTGGTACAACATATGATTGAATAAATATGCTAAACTTCGTTCATCATTCCTGTTGAAAATGTAAAATGCAAGAGCTGTTATGCTTTTGAGTTGAAATGTTAAGTTCCTCTCCACATTTTTAGCATGATACGTATGTCAGCCAAACCCTTTCCCTACTCTGAGTGCAAATGTCCGGGTAGCTCAGTCTTGAGCTGGAAGGTTCAAATTTTTCTGGATCTATTCTCCTGTTTCAAGTCAATAAAATGAATGTTGTGTCTAAGTAAATGTAACTGGGATTGCCCCAGGGCTTTCGCCTTTGCAGACATTACAGAGCCACACTGAGCAAATCTGCAATAACCTATCCCTGACTTATAGCCTATGATGGACAAGCCTGTCTGTCTTCTCAATGAGACTGAGATATGTAGGCATGTATTTAACCTGGGTGAAAAACTCTCCTAAGTGGAGTGATCCTAGCTGGACAAGTACCATAAAATGAATTCATACTTTTGGTTGTCTTTATACTTTCGTGTTTGCCTGCCTTTATCTCTATCTCATACAAAACAACATTGAAACCTTCATTTGCACCCTTCCATTTTCATATTTGGAAGTGATTTGTTAGCTAGAATTGGAGCCATTACACTTATTGTTTTCATTAAATAATTTGATTTTTCAAACACACTCCTAGCCTATATCCTTCATTCTACCAGTCACTGGTTCTCCAGCTCATACAAAACTCCACCACTCAAATCCTCACCCGCACAAAACTCTGTATGCCATTAGCCCAGGTCCAGCTTGACTTCTTGGTTGCCAAAGGGTCGATTGCCAGGTCTTCACCTTCACCCATAAATCCCTTCATTCCCTAGGACTTCCCTATCTCTGTGATATACTCTTACCCCACTTCTCTTCCCACCCCCTATACTCAGCCAAATTAGACCAACCGTGTATCCCTTGCCTCCCCTGTCCCACTGTTGGTAGTCAAACTTTCATTAACTATGCTTCCAACCTCTTCCCCTCAATCCCGTCTCCTCTCTGTCTTTAAACCCTGACTAAAAGCCTACCTCTTTGACTGTGTCTGCAGTCAGCCCCACCCTCCCCAGTTTAGGGTTTGACATTAACTTTGTGAAGGGCTCTGAGATGTTTTCCCACAGAAACAATGTTATACAGAATCTTTTGCTATCATATACAAAATATATGAATGCACAAAACAGGATTATTTAATTCAATAAATAGATGAAGTTGCAGTTTTAAAGAAAATTGGATGATATGATACACAGTGATAAGGCATTATATCAAGTGGAAGGATTATTAAAAGGATTATTATATATATGATCAGCAATTTTAAGCATAGCATAGAAAACTGGTTCCAAACTCCAATGTGATGATCTAGACCAATACAAGCACACATATCAAGGGAAGGGAAGATATTCTTGTCCACAAACATTGGGAAGTGATTTCGTAGCTGGAATTTCTCCCAGTTCCTGGCCAACAAACCCTAAAAAAAATGTTGGTTTATTGTTGGGCCGTTTGTTGGGCATTGCTGTGTGCAACTTGTCTGCAGCATTCACCCACAAATACATAAATCCTGTGAAGTGCTTTGTTATGTCCTCCCAATGTGAAAGGTGCTATTCTAAGTAAAAGGATTATGATTATTCTTATAACTGAGATTATAGGCGACACAAATGAGTTAGTCCTTCTGGTAATGCTTCAACTAATATTAGAAGAGAATGCACATTCCTTTTACAGAAATGTTATTTTAAACATATGTCAACAAATGTACCGGCAATTCAGAAAACCTCTCAGTTAAACCTTAATCACATTAATAATACAAGTCGTTCTTTAGTTTTCACTTACTAACCACTCTCAGTCAATGCAGTGTGTCATGCCAACCAACAGTACACATACACAGTTATTGGCTTCAATGACAGTTTCTTTCCACACAATCGAGGCTCCAAAGGATAAACCCAATTTCTCAGATTTCACATTTCTGCACAAGTCAAGCACAAGGAACAGAGACTTGTCTTGAGAAGCTGTGCATTCTCTTACTCAGATGCATCCTAGGTTTGTATGGAATGAAAGCAAACAGCTAAGGATAGAGCATGGGCCATGTATAGGTTGAGCTAAGGAACAGAGACCTATGATAAGATATCAAAAGAGTAAAGTAGAAAATGGTGGAAAATAATGTATATTTAATATATATATAATTTTCACTTACTAACTACTCTCAATGGTTAGTAAAAACTCTTGTTTTAAAACTCTTGTTTGAATCCAATCTCTCTCTCTTTCTCTCTGCACAGCAGCAATCATGTACAGTGTTGTTGTAGCTGTGGCAGTTTTAAGTAAACTTCATTCTGCAACAACTTGTCTTCGCAACATGTAAAATGTAAACTCCACTCTTCCCCAAGTAACTTAACGATTATGAAGCATAGGTGCAGGCATATATACAAGTTTTAATCACAATTACTTCTTATAATACAGTTTTAAAGAAAAAGCTCTTCAATACACGAATATACATGATGTAGAAATGTAGCTTTGCAGTTAGTTCTGACGTTGTGCAATGTCTGTAAATAATATAATAATAATCCTTGCATTTGATATAGCGCTTTTCATGCCTTCTAGGCATCTCAAAGCACTTCACAGAATATACTGTAAAGTGAATTGACTGTACACTTGTAGGCGAAACGCAGCAGGCAATTGTGCACAGCAGTGTCCTACAAACAGTCGTGGATTGAAGTGACCAATTTATTTTTATTTTTCCTTGAGGGATTATTATTAAGTGTGTGGAGTAAGGAACTTGCCCAAGGTTTCGCCCTGCCGGGAATTGAACCCAGGTCTCTTACTTGCGAGGCGAGTGCTCTAACCACTGTGCTACAGGACTCCACAAATAAGGAATTCTAAAATAGGCACAAAAAAGAGATCTTTTCTCTATCCCAAAGGTCGATGGACGCACCTCTAATAATTCAGCACTCACTAGACATTTCACTGGACTGTCAGTCTAGACTATTAACCTCAAGACCCAATATGGGGCTTTGAGCTCACAACCTTCTAACCCAGAAATGAGGGAGGAGCAATTCCAACGGAGCCACACTGACATCCTAAAATACTAGAAAATCGGCACTATTTAAACATTCCATTAGAGCGGAATCTTAACCAAAGCAGTTGTTTTCTTTAAAATAGGCAAGACACATTAAATAACTAAGAGCCTGAACAACAAAGTCAATAACAAAAATCATTGTCACATTACATTAGTCAGTTACTGAATATTAATTACAGATATTAATTACAGACCTGTGATACACTGTATAAACAGTTTTGCAGAATTTATATATCTGTCACTTTGAGGCGAGTTAATAGATTTTTAGACATCTGTACTTTTACACAAGAATCGCACTTCTTACTAATTTTCTCCTATCACTTTCTGGATATTAAAATGTTTCCAATATTTTATTATTTTTCATTACCCCCCACAGTGTTGTGCAATTTCAAGGTCTCTGTGGGTATGAGTGAGTCTCAGGGAAGAGGCCTGCACTTGGAGACTGGCTGCATGTCACAGAGGACTTGTGCATCTGTATGAATTCTCTCCTCATCTCCTCAATGGTGCACCGTGGAGATATATATTAAAACTGTATTCCAAAAGGAATAAACAAATTAAATAAATAATGTCTTCAAACATTTGTATATATATGTACAATACAATTATAATATAAATAATAATAATCCTTGCATTTGATATAGAGCCTTATCACGTCTTTGAGACGTGTCAAAGCGCTACACAGAATCTGAAGTAAAGTGAATTGATTGTATATTTTGTGGGCGAAATTCTGCCATACATAATGTGTGCAAGTAAAATGAAACAAACTTTTGAAAGATGTTTGTTTCTATGCCATCTAAAGAGCAGTAAATGGAATCGGCAGGTGCAAAAAGCAATCATGAGGCTTCAGAACAAGTGGTCTAACATATCAAAGCTATTTTTGGTCAGCCAGATGTTTACAATGCAGAAATCCATTTCCAATCTTAAGAGCATCCAAAACAGACTGAGAGTTCTACATATGTATAATAATAATAATAATAATAATACTAATCCTTGCACTTCATATAGTGCCTTATCACATCATTGAAATATGGCAAAGTTCTTCACAGGATTTACTGTAAAGTGGATTGACAGTATGCATTGTGGGCAAAACGTTTAGCCTTGGTTGTGCACAACAATGTCCCACAAACAGCCATGGAATGAGTGATCAATTTTATTCTTGGGGATAGTTGGCAAGAACACCGGGAGAAACTTCCTTCTCTTTCCAAATTGTGCCATGAGATCTTTAAGGTTCACTTGAACAAGCAGATGGGACCTCGGTTTTAATGTCTCATCTAAAGGACAATACAGCGT